CATTAGCAAACCGGTGGGCATGGGTGTGGTGGCTGGTCTCCATAAGCGTACCAATTTCGATGAAAAGACCCAATCTCGTGTGGTCGATTATGGTGTAGTCCACGAACAATATACCGGTGGTGTTGGTCCCTATGATATTGCTATGTTGCATGTGTCGGAACCTTTCGAATTCAATGAATGGGTGAAACCTGTTGCATTGCCTGCCTATGAACAGATTCATGATGGTGAGACGCATTTGTATGGTTGGGGACAGCCTAAGGCTTTTGTCTTCTCTGCTGCCAGTACTTTGCAAACGGTTACTACCCAGATTGTTGAATTCAACAAGTGCAAGGAAGTTTTGCCGGCGGATGCTCCTCTGCATGAAACCAATGTCTGTTCGGATTCTTTGCAACAAAGCATTTCGGCTTGTAATGGTGATTCTGGTGGTCCATTGGTTAAGGAATTCGCCACCAAGGGTGATGCTGAGTTGATTGGTATTGTATCGTGGGGTTATATCCCCTGCGGTATGGCCCAAATGCCTTCGATTTATACTCGTGTCTCCGCCTATATTCCATGGATTGCTAATGTCCAGAATAATTATTATAAATCGATGTAAAGGAATTTGGATGTTTGTATGATGAAATTGAAATAAATACCGGAATTCCTAATAAAAATTATGCAAAAATAAAAATAATATTAGTTTTTATTGCGAGGGACCATGGGTAATCTAAATAAAATATTGATATCTCGAAATTTCCTAAAACCTCATATTGTGGCTTATATGTTTACTATGGGAAGACATGATCTGCAGATGTTGACAGTGTATGACATGCCGGGTTATTTTCTCACAGACAATTTCCAATATGAGCCGTTTATTTTGAAAGCGGTTTAAGTCCACTTTTTAATATATGGAGCTATTAAAAGGTTTGGATTTGATTTTTTTTCAAAAATATTGTTAAGTAGTTTTAATTTAGTTTTTTTTTTTTTTTGACAATGGCTCCATATAAGGGTCATATCGATTTTTAGGATTTTGCTGGTTCAGCTGCATTTTGCAACCGAAGAGACCCCATACAAAGCTTTCATCCCATTCTAAATTAATAGTACTAGGCGTATTATCCATACGCGAAATAGCCCGAATTTATTAGCTTTATCACGGGTCCAGGCATTTTTTTAAGCCCCTGTGGTATTCCAAGTTCATTTTCGGTATTTTGAAATTCCTACGGCCAATAAAAATGTCTGACCTATTTGAAAATCCACGCCTTATTGCTGAGATGGTCCTGGAAAAAAATATTCTTTAAAAATCCACTCCTTATTGCTGGGAGGATCCTTGAAAAAATATCCTTTAAAAATCCACTCCTTATTGCTGGGAGGATCCTTGAAAAAATATCCTTTAAAAATCCACTCCTTATTGCTGGGAGGATCCTTGAAAAAATATTCTTTAAAAATCCACGCCTTATTGCTGAGATGGTCCTTGAAAAAATATTCTTTAAAAATCTACGTCTTATTGCTGAGATGGTCCTTGAAAAAAATATTCTTTAAAAATCTACGTCTTATTGCTGGGAGGATCCTTGAAAAAATATTCTTTAAAAATCTACGCCTTATTGCTGGGAGGATCCTTGAAAAAATATTCTTTAAAAATCCACGCCTTATTGCTGAGATGGTCCTTGAAAAAATATTCTTTAAAAATCTACGTCTTATTGCTGAGATGGTCCTTGAAAAAAATATTCTTTAAAAATCTACGTCTTATTGCTGGGAGGATCCTTGAAAAAATATTCTTTAAAAATCTACGCCTTATTGCTGGGAGGATCCTTGAAAAAATATTCTTTAAAAATCCACGCCTTATTGCTGAGATGGTCCTTGAAAAAAATATTCTTTAAAAATCCACGCCTTATTGCTGAGATGGTCCTTGAAAAAATATTCTTTAAAAATCTACGTCTTATTGCTGAGATGGTCCTTGAAAAAAATATTCTTTAAAAATCTACGTCTTATTGCTGGGAGGATCCTTGAAAAAATATTCTTTAAAAATCTACGCCTTACTGCTGGCAGGATCCTTGAAAAAATATTCTTTAAAAATCCCCGCCTTATTGCTGATATGGTCCTTGAAAAAATATTCTTTAAAAATCCCCGCCTTATTGCTAAGATGGTCCTTGAAAAAATATTCTTTAATAATCCACGCCTTATTGCTGAGATGGTCCTTGAAAAAAATATTCTTTAAAAATCCATGCCTTATTGCTGAGATGGTCCTTGAAAAAAATATTCTTTAAAAATCCACGCCTTATTGCTGAGATGGTCCTTGAAAAAATATTCTTAAAAAATCCACGCCTTATTGCCGAGAGGATCCTTGAAAAAATATTCTTTAAAAATCCACGCCTTATTGCTGGGAGGATCCTTGAAAAAATATTCTTTAAAAATCGTCACCATTAATAAATCTCTTCTTAGCTCAAAAAAAAACATATTTTTTCTACATATTTTTTATTAGGAATTCAATACATCGTCATCAGATCAAAATCCTTTAAATCGACTTGAAATAATTATTCTGGACATTAGCAATCCATGGAATATAGGCCGAGACACGAGTATAAATCGAAGGCATTTGAGCCATACCGCAGGGAATATAACCCCACGATACAATACCAATCAACTCAGCATCGCCTTTGGTGGCGAATTCCTTAACCAATGGACCACCAGAATCACCATTACAAGCCGAAATGCTTTGTTGCAAAGAATCCGAACAGACATTGGTTTCATGCAGAGGAGCATCAGCTGGTAAGACTTCCTTGCACTTATTGAATTCAACGATCTGGGTGGTGACAGTCTGCAAGGTGCTAGCAGCGGAGAAGACAAAAGCCTTAGGTTGTCCCCAACCATACAAATGCGTCTCACCATCATGAATCTGTTCGTAGGCGGGTAGAGCAACAGGTTTCACCCATTCATTGAATTCGAAAGGTTCCGACACATGCAACATAGCAATATCATAGGGACCAACACCACCGGTATATTGTTCGTGAACTACACCATAATCGACCACACGAGATTGGGTCTTTTCATCGAAATTGGTACGCTTATGGAGACCAGCCACCACACCCATGCCGACCGGCTTGCTAATGCAATGGGCAGCAGTGAGAACCCAATTCTTGTTGATAATACTACCACCACAGATGTGTGAGTGTTTGGCGGTACGACTCAGCGAAACGATGTAGGGGGCGGAATGGGGTTCAGCATCTTCGCCTTTGATGATGTAGCCGGTGGCAAAGCTGGGTATTAAACGTTGGGCCGCCGATGACAGATGACCAGCATTGGCCGAGGCCACAAACAAGACACAAAGGATCACAAAAGTTTTCATAGTTTTTTGCTACTGTTTTATGAATTGACTGACTGATACTGGAGTAGCGATTTGCAGGGGTTTATATAGCAAAACGGGAGAGTGTGGATTTTTGCGTACAGACGAACGAAGTTCTTATCAAATTGTTGGTGTGTGGAACCTAATCAATAACTGTGATATTTCTTTTGATGATTTATGAATGAAGAGATCTAAAAATATGTTTTTTGTTTATTTTTTTCTGGAAATTATTTTCTAGAAATAAAAAAGTTGTGGATAGAATGATATGCAATTTTTGGTTAGATGAGAGGGATATTTTTAAAGAAGATCCTGTTTTATCTATGGTAAAGTTTAGGGTTTAAACGTAGCTTCTTGGGCGGTTTTATCAATACCAGCAATATGCAAAACAAGTTGTAGCAAAAAGTGTAAGATATGCCATTTTTGTAAACTCGTCGTCAGCGCCATCTATTGATGAGTATGATTTATATCATACAAACTTCCAGGCGTATAACTTTTGAATGGATAATCGCAATTCAACAAAAGTTGTATCATATGAAAGAGAAAATAATCTACTTTATGGCGAAAATAAATGAGGTAGGCATAATTTAAGATCGCGTCCTCTGCGCCATCTATTGGTGAGTATGATTAGCACATCATTAACATTTGAACTCATCTCTATGACACAGGCGTCATATGAAATAGTTTACTTTACCATGACCAGCAAATATTTTTTTAAAAACTCTTTGATCAAAACATATGCCTCATAAAACCTGTGTGTAATTCAATAGACCTCCAAAAAAGGCTGATGATATATATATATATATATACATATCAGGTATACACCTGACTGACACTTTTTAATAGTTTATTTTTATTTCGTTTCATTTACTTTGAAACTCTTAAAGAAACAAGTTTATATATATATATATATGTATATATATATATATATATATCCATATTTCGTATTTTTTTAATTTTCCATTTTTATTGTAATTCCCAATGGAAACTAAGTAAATAAATATTTTTTATTAAAATTAACATTCAATTAATTTCCATTAAAAATCCATTGTCATTTGTATTCAAAACCCCCTGTCTAATTAAATATTAATTTATTTTTTTTATTTTATTTGTTATATATATAAATATATAATTTATTTTATAGTTAGCATTTTGCATAAATACTTTACATTATGATTTTTTATTTATTTTCTGTGTGTGTAGTATTAATTATTAAATCTTATTAAAGAACCCAAAAAATAATTGTTTAAAAATAATCTTAGAATTAGAATTAAGCAAAAATAGTTTTGTTATTGTATTTTCTTTTTTTTAAATATTTATTAATAAAATAGTTAAAAAAATAAAAATCGAATTAACACAAATATATTTATAATTATATTTTCACATTTTTAATGCAAATTAATATTTTAGAGTTTTTTTTTTTAATTTATTTATTTTTTTGTAAGTGTTGGGATAGGAGAGACAATAAGGCCTTGGTAGATTAAGAAAATATTTGAAATTTGGAAAAAAAAAACATTTAGTTTTCAAGACACCCTCTTGACTCCGATAGACCACTAACACAGTGATCCATCCGGTGATTGGTCTTTAACATAAAACCTCAACAATAGTATGGATGTCATAATGCCAAAATGACTTTCAGATTCTCAGTAGTCTAATGATACTAACCTCACTTAACACTGTTTTTACTATCTTCGGCATTAATAAATCTCCTCTTGGCTCAACAAATAACATAAACATATTTTTTTTATTAGGAATTCAATACATCGTCAAAAAATAAAATTTCCTTTAAATCGATTTGTAATAATTATTCTGGACATTGGCAATCCATGGAATATAGGCGGAGACTACAGTATAAATCGAAGGCATTTGGGCCATACCGCAGGGGATATAACCCCACGATACAATACCAATCAACTCAGCATCACCTTTGGTGGTGATCGTTCCGGGGTTTGGTCTTTTACATAAAACCTCAACAATAGGATGGATGTCATAATGCTAGTACACCGGTATTCCTATGCCAATCTCTATGCCGTTTTATACGAAAAAGTGGTTGTGGTTAAAAAGTTCCAAAGATATCATCCCACTTTAAGGAACTTCCTGATTTTATTGGTCAAGTGTTCCAAAAAATGTTTGGTAGTGGGAATTTGTTTTCCATGAACCTGCATATCGTCATCAAAAAATGCAAACGGATGTAATTACAGAAAAATTCGAAATTGACTTTTTGTTTGATTATTGTTCGTCTAATCAAAATACATGTTCCCACAAACATTTAGGCATCTACCGTAGAAAAACAGCGATCTTCTAATTAAAGAAATTCATACGGACGTAACTCCACTCCTGTAAAAATCCAAAGCTCGCAATATTGAAGACAAATTCTGTACTTATATTAATGTTACTTCTGGGATGTTTGATATTGAAAATGAGATATATTGGCCAATTTTTTTACAGGTACCCCAAAATTCGGTATTTTAAGAGGTTTCTTCATTTTCAACTAATCAGCTATAATTAGGTATTTTTGTTTTCCACTGGATGGAAAAGTACCCTATTCAAAGTTCTATCGCTATCGGAGAAGCATTTAATGTCTTTAGTTCAACATTTACATAAAATCGGTCGAAACTGTATATGGGAGCAATATCGAAATCTGAACCGATTTTCGCGAAACTTAACAAACGTCACTCCGGACTCAATTCAGTGCGCTATGCAAAATTTCGTGCAAACCGAAAGAAAAATTGGGGCGTTAATGCACCATTTAACCAAATTGGACGAAAATATGTATGAGAGCTATATCGAAATCTGAGCCGATTTTCACGAAACTTAACACACAACACTCTAGACTAAATTCAGTACGCTATGCAAAATTTCGAGCAAATCGATAGAAATATAGGGGCTTTAATTCACCATTTACACAAAATCGAACGATAATATATGTGGGAGCTATATCGAAATCTGATCCGATTTTCATTCTAGACTAAGCGTACGCTATGCAAAATTTCGTGCAAAATTTTACAAATTTTAGTCTCAATGGGATAATTATTAGTCAAAAAGTTCCAGCCTTGCTCCGTTTTTTTTGCTTCTCCGGTAAAATCAGTAAAAGTGTAGTTATGTCCGTTTGCATTTATGATGACGATATTCGTCCATGCATTCTTATCCCCGCAGACAGTGTGGTAAAAATGCATGTGGTAGGAGTGAGTTAAACATTTCACAAATGTCTTCAACGACCTCTATTCCAATGTGGGACTTGACCTCTTGTTTTTATTAAAACTTAATGTTGACCGAGGGAAGGATGAAAGAAAAACAAAGATTAAAAAAAAAAACAAATTGTAATGCCTAGTTTTTAAAAAATACTTTTTTTTATTATTCAGCCATATGAACAGTTTATATAATAGTTTGTTGTTCCCCTCTTTCTCTGTAACTTTTCGTGTTGCCGTTTACTTTTTGTGGAGAAAATACTTTATAAAGTGTTTGCTTTTTGTTGATTGGTTAAAGTTAATTGATATTATTAACTGATTTTTTTATTTTATTTTTATGGATGGTATTTAAAACAAAAAATTATAATCAAAAGAAATTTAAAAAAATAATAATATGAAATACTAGGAAGTTAAAAGAAATAATATGGAAAATAATTAATAACTGAGCACAATTTTAAAACTATTTTTTTCTTTTTGTTTTTTAAAAAAAATATATTTATAATTATAATATATAACAGTTACAATGGAGGAGGAGCAGGCATTTGAAATAGGATAATAATTTAAAAAAATATATATATACTTTTTAGTTGTTGGGGGGAAGATTGGGAAAAGGGAGCTGTTTGAGTACTTATGAAATACATTTCATGTGGACATGTTTGTTGTAGTTGTTATATATTGTTGTTGTTGTTTTTTTCTTAGAAATTTTTACTAGAGTTTTAGTGTTTTGTTTGTTTGCTAAGTATCATTTTCATTAGTTGTAGATATTTTGTTGTTGTTTTTCTGTATATATTTTATAGTACGTTACATGTTTACATATACATATAAAGAGATGATGAGGGTATATATTTTTTTGTTGTTTTTAATATTTTTTCTTTAGAAAGGCCTTAAGGATCGTTCTGCTAACTCTTAATATGTTTTTTTAATTTATTAATTTGATTTTCAATTGTTTTTGTTGTTGTTTTTTTTCATAAATTAATGCAAATTGTGTGTGTGTTGTTTAAAACTTCTGCTACACTTTACTAAAAATTTTAGGAGTAATTGTTGGAGATATTTTTAGTTTTTTTTTTCTTTTTGTTTAACAAATGTTTGTGTGTGTTTATCTCCCAAACAAAAAAAAAATATTTTAGTGCCTCTGGATTTTGGTTCTCTCTCTCTCGATCTTTCTCTTTTTTAAATCTGCCACTTTCCATTTCGTTTGTGTTCTAGGTTAGTTGATTTTTTCATTGCTAATCTAACATTCACTTTGCGAAAAATCCACATCCTTTTTAACACTTCTCGCCAAACGATCCAATTCGGCAGCAGCATCTGTGCGTACGGATAGTTTATCGGGTGTTAATAGACTATCTGAACCATTGGCCCGTGGTGTGCTCATGGCACCAGGTGGTGTTGCTGGTGAACCGGATTTTTTGTGCAACAATGAATTGAAGAAATTGGCCAAAACGCCTTCGCCTCCGGGTGTGACAGGATTCATTTTTACATCAGGCTGTAAGAAAAAACAGAAAACAACAGGACCAAACAAATAAGTCATTGAAGGAAGAATATATAAATTGAAATATTTTTTGGGAGATTGAGTAATTTGTTAAATTATCTGACTACAAATAACAAAATTAATGTAAACCAGTAAGGAAAATACCAATATCGTGTATTATACCTTACACCACTAGTAACCTGTCGTTAGGTATATACCGAAGCAAACGTTCTCCATGTCGATTTATAAGACATCAACAAGGTTCGGGTGTCTTAAGGACTTTTTTAATACTCTCAGCCTTTCTAAACTCCGAAATGAAAATGTCTATATTTCAAAGGGAAGTTTATGGA